TCATACTGATGCATCAATGCATAAACTGCATTGTAAAGTTGTTGCTGGTCAAACGTTATGTACATTTAACTAGTTTAGCTCAGCTTTTAACAAACCATGGGGTCATGTGAATCACAAGACAAATCTGAGATGATTAATGGGGTAGGAAATAAGAAATTAAACAGTGTTCTACAAAAAACAGGCATAAATCCTTAGCAAATTTAGACTTTTCTCTAATATTTGCTGTGTTTTTAGTGAAATATTTAAATACCCTGAGAGCATTTAAAGGTGAAATATCTCTTTGGTGGAAGTGTTAACAGTTTTTCTGGAGTGAGACATGAGGCCTCAGTTACACACTGCTTTCTTTGTCTTAAGTGATTTATTTGCCCTTTAGGCAGTGGTGGCCTAAAGGTTAGAGAATATGTATCTAGTGTAACTCATGGACTGGCAGGATTAAATCTGAGCAATGCTTGCCTGTCCCTCACCAACATCACTGACCTATGATTTCATTTGGCATGCAGTTAAACCTTTCAGGGTTTTTGTAGCACATTATTTAAATCTGTGGAGAATTTGCTGCAAGAGGTACTGTAGTACTAAAGATGGCATTGCTGGTTTCCATAGGAAGTGAAGCAGGTGGGTGATGGTAAAGCTGCAAATAATTCATCAGCAACCACTTAGCCACAGTGCTATACCAAGGCAGGATTTCACCTTTTTCTGATAACAGTGGGGCCTGAGGATAGTCATGCTGGTCACTCAGTTTGCCGTCCTTACGTCGCTCTTCACTAGCAGGCTAGCAGTTAATATTATTTCATGTAGCTTAATATAAAAACCAAATCTAGTAAAGCTAGGATGTCAATATAAATAGTCCTCATGTGTTGCCTGTCTGTCCATTCTTGTCTCTCTCTCCATTTTTTTCTCTGAACTGACCTCCTCACACCCATGCTTCTTCTGTACCCACCACCTCTGAGCAGAAACTGAAGGGCTTCACTCAGAGCTCAGCCCATCCCAGAGAGGGACAGCTCCCCATTGTCAGTAGGCACAAAGGCCCACGCTGTCTGTCCCGCTCCCGCTGTCTGTACGTCAGTGTCCTAGTGAGGAGGAGGAGGATCAGTGCTGTCAGTCTCCCCATCAGCTATTGGTTCCATTCAGCTTCTATCACTTCAACTCTAGGTTAAAGTGGTCCAGGCAGGAGAGTAAAACTTGTCATTGGTAGCAGCTCAGTGGGCTACTAATGGTTTTGATTCTCTGTTCTGTTCTAGTGATTACAGTTTGCTTTGTGCAAATCACACACGCAATTGCTTGTTATAAGAACTGTACATGTGCCTTTATGAGGATGATGTCCTTATAGGGTCAGATGCATAAGGTCAGGATTAAGGTTACAGTAAGAATAACAATTAGGTTTTAGGTAAAACATGACCCATGCAAATGTTTATTAATACATGAACGATTGTGTGCATTCAGGGTCTAATGCTCAGTGCTGTCCTATAATATGTTGAACACCATTTTCATTGATGCTTTTGTAAAGTCTGTACCTTGAGAGTCAACAACGTCCATAGATGGAAACTCAAGCTGACTTTCTCTGTGACATTTATGTAACAGAATATACACAATAAATTGGCTGCAATTTAATTTAAGACATAGAAATACAGTCATTCCACAATGAGACAGTAAATTCAGAAAAACAATAGGGAACAACATTTGACACCATTGATTATGTGTTGATGAGTGAGCTGATGCAGTACACAGTTTGTTCCGGCTTTTTGCTTTTTTGATACCGATCTTCACTGGACTCCCCTTTGACTTTTTTTTTCCATCATGACATTTAAATGGTGAGAAAATGAACACTACAGAGGTTAGAATTTAATTACCGTCTCATATTCTCACAGTAATTTTTCTACTCCAGCAGCAGCGTTACAAGCTAACCATGCTGTTCAGCATCTGTATTGTTGTCCTGGGTTGTTGTTTGCCAGTTATGCTGCCAGTTTTGCTCTGTTAACATTTTGTGTAACTGAATCCTTTCTTTGTAACAAATTAATTATATTTTGAAAAAACAAAAAGAAAGCTGGTGTATAATCAGCGTTCTCATGTGGCCTAGAACAAGCTACAGTTACAGAAGACTTCATCAAATGTAGGAGTGTTAAGGGCATAGGTGGAAGATGTACATAGATCTTTTACTTTAGTAGATTTAGGAATACTGCATTTTGAAAAAATACTGTCACTACCAAAGTTCTGCCTTTAAATTTTACTCAGTAAAAGCAAACAAAAATGATCCGTTAAATAAAGGTA